GTTGTTGTTTTTTTTTGTTTGTTTGTTTTGTTTTGTTTTTTGAGACAGGGTTTCTCTGTAGCTTTGGTGTCTGTCCTGGAACTAGCTCTTGTAGACCAGGCTGGCCTCGAACCACCTGCCTCTGCCTCCTGAGTGCTGGTATTAGAGGCGTGTGCCACCACCGCCCGGCTTGCTTGTCTTTTTTTTTATTATTGTATTTGGTTGTCGTTATTGTATGCGTTTTAGTTATTGCTTACTTTCTCATGCTACAGATTATTCCGTGTTTCCTACACTAGCTCTAGAAGCAGCCATTTCTTCAATGGATCCTTTTTTTATTAGACACGAAGACATTGGTGTTATTTGTGTGAAGTCAATTTTTACATATTTAACATTCCAATCTTGCCCTATGTGGCTTTACTTAATTTATCTTTCCTTGTGTGTGTGTGTGGGGGGGCAATGCTGTGAACTTAAGACTTCACACATGCTAGGTGAGAGCCCTATCATTGCACTACCTGACCATTTCCCTGCTTCATACATCTTATATGAGAAAGCATTGCTGTTCTTGATCAGGTAAACATGCTCTATATTTTAGATCACTACTTATCTTTTACATGTGGATTTAAAACTCAGATGGAATCATTTATTTTACATGATGCTGAGAATAAATGTTATTTCTTTATTAATGGATAATTAATATCATTTGTGGATTTGTCAATTCTTTCCTTTGCAGAGGTTTTCAACCTGTGAGTCGTGATCCCTTTGGGGGTATTGAATGATCCTTTCACAGGGTTACCTAAGATCATTGGAAACAGAGATATTTGCATTATGATTTATAACAGTAACAAAATTACAGTTAGGAAGTAGCAATGAAAATAATTTTATGGTGGGGGGGTCACTGCAACATGAGGAACTGCATTAGGAAAGTTGAGAGCCACTGCTTTATGGTTTAAATGTTCAAACATGTTCAGGAATCTGTTGCAGGCTTTATTTTATTGTATTATGTAGACTGAATTTCTATAAATTTAGAGTATTTTACTTCCTGGTAGGGTAAATGCCATCATGAGTCTTTTAAAAAAATTTTTCACTATTCTTGATCATCTTTTTTTTTCAAACAAATATTAGAATCATCTAGTCCAAGTCCATAAAAATGCTTTTGGTATTTTGGTTGATATATACCAGATATTCCTAATTCAACTAGCTCTCAAATTTAGTACACAAAATGATCTACCTAGAAGGCTTATGGGGACCAACCTCCAAGGTTCTGTTTGGGACAGATTCATGAATTTGACCTTTGTTTCCAACAACTGGGATGTGAGACAGCTGATCTAGCATCATCTCTTGAGAATCACTATTCTACAGGACCTTCTTGACTTTCCCATCCATTCCACTGCCTTTGAATACGGTCAGGTGATGTTGGATGTCCTTTTGTATATGTGCTGCTTTATTGGTTGATGAATAAAGTTACTTTGGCCTAAGGCAGGGCAGGTTAAAGCCAGGTGGGAAAATGGAACAGAAATATATATAGAGAGAGTAGGCAGAGTCAGAGAAATGTCATGTAGCTACTGAGGGAGGACATGACAGAACCTTACTGGTAAGCCACAGCTTTGTGGTGATACACAGTTTAATAGAAATGGGTTAATTTAAGATGCAAGAGCTACTTAATAAGAAGCCTGAGCTATTGATCAAACAGTGTTGTAATTAATCGTTTCTATGTGATTTTTCGGGTCTGGGTGGCTGGAAAATGAACAGTCTCCGGTTATAGTCAGGGTAGTGAATGTATGGCAGATGTAAGTACTTGCAACAGATCAACAACTATCTTATCTTCCACAGGATTTCCCTGTGTAGCTTTGGAGCCTTTCCTGGAACTCACTCCGTAGACTAGGCTGGCCTCGAACTCAGAGACCTGCCTGCCTCTGCTTCCCGAGTGCTGGGATTAAAGGTGTGCACAGCCACCACCTGGCTTATGTAGAAACTTTAAAATTTTTTTTATTTATGTATGTGTTTTGTGAGTGTTCTTTCTGTATATATGCCTGCTTGCCAGAAGAGGGCATCCGACCCCATGACAGATGGTTGTGAGCCACCATGTGGTTCCTGGGAAATGAACTCAGGACTTCTGAAAGAGCAGCCAGTGCTTTTAACTGCTGAGTCATCTCTCCAGCCCCAGTATGTAGAAAATTTTAATTGATTTACATATACAAAAATCATTCAATGTTGCCACATTATCATGATATATTCTACTTTACACTATCATACATTGTAGTCAGTAAGAATTTCCAGGAATATTTGGGTTTCAGAAAAAATTTCTTAATTAGAGAGAAAGAAGGATTAGTAACTTGAAACTAAATAGAGGGAGATGAGTCCCTAGTGGCTTTTAGATAACTGCATGTCCTGCTCAGGCTGGTTTTGTTGTTTCAATTCTCTTCAGTTTAAATAAACATCCTCCTTTGGAAAATTTGGAGGAGACTTTGTTACTTGCTAGAAAAGTTTAAAATAGTTTCTAATAGCCATTCCCAGTTAGATTTCAGAAACATTGTCCACTTAAAATAGTAAGAGGCAGAGAGATACATGAAATGTCAATTTGCAAAGAACGCTGCAGCATTCAGGGTAGACACACAGTTCATATTCTTTCCTTCAGAGAGTTTGTGGAAGCCAGCTGCTACATCAAGACTGCTTGGTAAGCCTGAGCCAGAGCAAAAAAAAAATCTGTGCCTAAAGTTATTCTCAACCAACTGTCGGAGTTCAGTGCAGTGCTCATATCCATTGTGGGAGAGGACTGGGCTGTCTTAAGGAAGGAACAAGTCATCCCAAGGGACGGGTTTTCTCCTATAGCTCTATTTACTCTCCTTTCTGTTGATCTTGCTCTTCTGCTAATACTTTCCTTGGAGAATTTATAATAGCTTTGTTACCAATACGTGTAATAATAGTACTTCCTATTTACCAGCTTTGTGCTAAGTCCTCCGTGTGCTCCACCTTGTCAAATCCTCTTAAGTAGGTGTTATTCTGCTTTACAGATAAGATTGAGCCACATTACAAACCCCGGCCAGGGTAATTTACCTTTCTTAGCCAGGAAACAGTGAGACGAGATACAGACACTGTGTTGGGGATCTGAGTTGTTCGCCTGGCTTGGTTAGTTTTATCGTTAGCCTACTTTCTTGACTTGAGGGAAAATGCGTGGTCAACCGTGTTCGTAGCCACGTGTCTTCGTGCTGCTCATCCCAATCGTCAGCATTTTAGACCCAAAACACTGATCATTTATTGAGGTTGAGACTGAAAGGTTTTTTGTTTGTTTGTGTTTGTTTTGAGACAGGGTTTCTCTGTGTCGTCCTGGCTGTCCTGGAACTTGCTTTGCAAACCAGGCTGGCCTCAAACTCACAGAGATCCACCTGCCTCTGCCTCTGGAGAGCTGGGGTTAAAGCTCTCACCACGACCAGTGAGGCTGGAAGCTTTTGCCTACCCTGGGAGGCAGGCGTGTTAACGGTCCCTTAAACAAGAGAAAACAGAGTCAAGGTGGATAAAAGACTTCATGCGGACATAAGCAGACCAGGCCCCCGACACATCTCCTGCTTTCCCACGCTTTACTACCTATCATTCACATTTCTGATCCGAATTGGTCTTCTAATTTCACAGCCAAGTAATTTTCCTTTGATTGCAGCCTCATTTAAGGATACCATCTTTAAGGACTTCTCCCACGCATTACGTGGAAAGCTTTAGTGCAAACGGCATGCCATAAAGCTTGTTTGCAATTGAATGAATCCCCCCCCCCCCCCAATCTGTTTCCTGGCTCTCTGGGCAATTTCAAAGCTCCTGGGACATCAGACAAGTTATTGTTAAAAAAGGGAACAAAAAGCAGTTATAATTCTTAGTCTAGAGTATTCTATAGGTGCTTCTGTGCCCACACCAGGGAATGTTTTGGTGTCTATTTTTTCTGCAGTCAAAAACCCAGATGACCACCTATTTAAAGACGGTGGGTGACTGGATGTGTGCCTCACACCTGTATTCCAGAGGTAGAGGCAGGAGGATCCGAAGTTCGAGGTCATCCTCTGCTACAAAGCAAGTTTGAGGCCAGCCTGGGCTAACAGGAGACCCTGTCTCAAAAAGCAACAAAACAAAAGAGTTATCCATATGACTATATTAAAATATGTGGCTTGGAAATTCTACTCCTAAGTATGTTTCCCAAAAAACTAGAAACAGGTTATTTAGACAAAGGTGTAGGCGTATTCAGAGATCCAGCTCACATTAGCCAAGAGGTGGAAATAACCCACAAAGCCACCGACAGATGTAAGAACAGTAAAGCAAACTGTAATATAACACACACACACACACACACACACAATACCATCCTACATAGCCATAAAAAGCAGGGCTGGAGAGATGGCTCAGTGGTTAAGATAATTGAGTGCTCTTCCAGAGAACCCTGGGTTCAATTCCTAGCACCCACATGGAAGCTATCAACTGTCTGTAACTCTGGTTCCAGGGGACCCAGCATCCTCACACAGACATTCATACAGGTAAAACACCAATGAGCAGGAAGTTAAAAAAAAAAAAAAAGCAGTGAAGTGTGTGATTCATGCTACAGCCTGGATGAACCTTGTCTGGATTCTTTTGATCTAACCACACAAGACCTGGTGTAGTGGGCCTGTGATCGAAGCTACTAGGGAGGCTTAGGCAGGAGGTTGTAGGTTCAAAGACTTGCCCGGACCACAGAGTCAGTTCGAGGCCAACTTGGGAAGCTTAGGCATACACACACACACACACACACACACACACACACACACGCCCACCACCACCACCGAAAAGGTACTCGATTCCATTTATATGAAATATGCAGAAAAGGGTAAATCTATAGAGAAAGAAAACAGATGAATGGTTTTCAGGGACTAAGCAGTGGAGTGACTACTTGATTTCTGTGGGAGTTTCCTTCTGATAGAACCGTTCAGAATTAAGAGGTAAAGTGGTCACTGCTGACTGTTCCAAGTGTAATAAACGCCACTGAACTGTTAATTGTTAAATGGTTATTTTTATGCTATGTCAAGTTTCATCTCGAGTAAAAAGTAAAAGTTTAACCACCCTCTTTTGCCCTTCCCTGGGCTTGGGATCTTCTTTACCGATCCAGAGCAAAAGAAAGAGTCTTCATCCTTGGGGGGAGGGGCAAAGGCCTTGTCCGAAGAAGGGCTCCTTGGCGCCCAGTTGTTTAAGCCGCGTGCGCTGGGTCCCACTGGGTCGGCACACAGGGCGGGTCCTGAGGTCGGTGGGCACAGCCGGGGTCCTTGGGGGAGGGAGAGCGCACACCGTCTTAGGAGATACACCCGGCCGATGGTTTAAAAAAACCTACAAAAGTTGGCGATGAACTCAAGAGTAGGAGGGGGTGCCATTCCCAGCACCGTGGAGTCTCCGAAGAAAAGGGCCCACGTCAGTCAAGAGGCTCGCGCTAACTCGTGCGGGTGACTGCCACATCCCCGGCGCAGGAAAATGCATTCTTTTGTTGTTGGCGGAGACGGTCCCCTTCCGCAGCTCCCGGGCCAAGGTGGGCAGCGCAGTGGGACCGCGGCTCCGGGAGTGGCGGGGGGGGGGCACTGCGCGGGGCCGCGCTCCCGCCCTCGGCGGCGCCCACCGGAGCGGTAGGAGGCGGCGGCGGCGGCCCGCGAGGGGGCGGCGGCAGAGCGGGGCTTTGTGGCCGCGGCGCGCGCGGCGGGGCCTGGCCGGCCGGGGGCGCGCGGCCGCCCGGCGCCTGGAGCCCGCGGCCCTGCCGGCCGCCCAGCCCGCCAGAGCCGCCCAGGCCGCCGCGCTCGCGCCTCCGCGCAACTCCCCGGGACCCGCGGCCGCCGCGCCGCCGCTGCAGGTAGGAGGCTGAGACCCGGAGGACCGCGGCCGGCCGGGGAAAGCGGGCGGAGCTGGAGCGCGAGGCGAGGGGGGGGGGTTTGGCGGGCTCTCGGGCCGAGCCGCCGCGCCCTCCTCCCCGCAGGCCGACGGCCGCCCGCGCGCGCCGCGGTGCCCCGGGAACCCGGCCTGCCCGTCCGCCCGCCCGCCCGCCCGCGTACAAAGCGCCGGCGCGCGGGCCTCACAGACGCGCTGGAGCTCCCGGGAGGAGGGGGTGCTCCGAGCTCGGGGCCCCGGAGGCGCTGGAGGAAAAATCCAGCAGAGCCCGCGGCGCCGCGGTCCTCACATCCCCACTGTGTGCAGGGAACTGCGCTCGCCGCTTTTCCGTACTTGTCTCCGTTGAGACCCCTGCCTCCGGTCCGGACCTGATGGATAATGGGCTGGGTCCCTCCTTCCGAGGAAGAAACAGCGCCTCACGTCCCGGCCCGACTGACCTTGGAGAAGCTCCTTTACTCCGAGGCTGCTGGGTTGATGTTTCTATTATGGGGGAGTAGGGTGTGATGTAATAACCACCCCCAGGTACTATTGTGGGAGCTAATGTGTATCCGCTGATAGCTAAATTTAAGTACACGTCCCAGGCCCCGGGTCCTAAACAGTTGGCATGAATTATTAAATCATCGCACTGGTACTAAGGTAGTTCTGTAAATTGCAGGGAGAATTTTTATGTTGGAGTAAGAAACAAGAATTTAGTCTCCTTGTTCTGATGACAGAAAATGGATATTTTATCACTGCAATAACATTTAACAGTTTAAATGTTTGCGGTACTTAGGAGAATGGCTTTAGGGTGAAGACAGATCTTTTCACACATTTAAAACTGGAGCTGGGGTATTAGGGCCCGAGCTGTGTGTGTGTGGTGGGGGCGGTTTAGCATGTCAGAAGAGACCACGAGTGTGTGATTACTCAGGAAATTGCTGCATGTTAATAAAATAGTTCCTGAGTTAGGATTGAGGCCAGCTATGAGAGTTTGAGGCCAGAGAGGGTGATAGGAATGGAGAAAAAGAATTCAGAAACCCGGAGAGAGATGGGGTCATCCATTTCTTCTCCCCACGACTGCATCTTGAGACAGGTTTTTTCCTGAGGGGGAGTGGGAGGAGACCCGAAGAGAGATCAAAGTTGTCTCTCCTTGCTTCTCTGCAGCTGGGCGGAAGTGTTGAGATGAAACGCGGGCACTGACACCAGGCCTGGCTAAGCGGTGCGCGTCTTAGGATGCAGTAGTCCTGGTAGCATGTTTCGGGAGAAGTAGATACCGGACAGCCCTCAAGGTTGATAAGATGCTTAAAATACCAAGCCTAACTGATGTGAAGAAGGGGTTGTTGGGACCTGTCTTCACTTGTCTAAGTGACACAGTGGGATTGAAGAAACTTTAGAGTGTCAGTTTGGAATGAGGAGAACTATAAGGGAAAAAAAAAAAAAAGCCAGGAAAACTGCCAGGGTCTGCTGCAGTAGTTGGACCAGCAGTGAGGCGAGGAGCTGGCCACTTCAGGACGCGGCTGGAAGCCACCAGCAAGGCACTCTGCACGCTCCCAATTTCTTACCCAGTGTCACCTTTCCCATGATTGATTCCTTGGATAAAGGTGTTTTGTTTTAAACTAGGACGCAGAAGAGGACTTGGGGGTACACAGTGATGGTAAGGGCAACAAACAGCATAGTGGAAAGAGCAAGTGCTTTGGGAGAGGGACACCCTGGGAGCTCATCCATTTTCCTGCTGTCTCTTACCTTTGTGATTATGGTGTGTGTGTGTGTGTGTGTGTGTGTGAGAGAGAGAGAGAGAGAGAGAGAGAGAGAGAGAGAGAGAGAGAGAGAGAAGATGATTTTCTTTTTTCAGGTAGTTGGCAGGAAACTCAACAGTGGTTCACTCTATTTCCTGGCCATTAGGAAATTCACTCAAAAACTGTTTCCTGAGCGCCAGTCCTTTGCTGAGTCATATGCTACATGTTGAGGTGCAGAGATGAGTCAGAAATTATATATTTTCTTAGGAGTTTCCCATTCCAGAGAGGGAGATGGGCCCAAAGGGCAAATTATAAAAAACGTGGGATGTGCTACTGGTTGACATTTATGATTGACAGGGGGCTTGTAGAAGAGGGGGGTCACCTCATTTGCTAGAGACTCAGGGGAGTGTGCTCCAATGAGATGAGTTCGAGCCCTATGGCAGAGATTCTGCATGTGCTGTGTCCACCAGCTTTTATCTCGTTCATGCTGTCGAGTCTCAGCTGTGACATTCTCTCTCTTAAAAGTGCAGTGGCATTGTGCATAGAGCATGGAGGCTATTCGTTCGGCAGAGTCCGGAGACTCTTCTACAGCACTCTTGCGTTCAGTGTTGAATGGGTGGGTTATTGAATAGGAAGATAGCAAAAGTAAAAGAATAAATAGTGAGTCGCAGGTCGACATAGCTGAACGGCAAAGCATCAAACCGCAGCATCCAGCAGAGATGACTGGGTATAGACCACTTGAGAGAGCAACCACAAGGCTAGATCAAATCCAGGACTTACGGCAGTCTGCTGGAGTTTCCAGTCAAGAGTCCCAGGTAGAGTGGGACCGTCTTCTCGGGTCAGAACAAACAGCAGCAGGTTGGGAACATAATAAACTGGGCGGCTTAACAGCTCTCCGACAGAAACTAACTGTGGAACTGAGACAGTCAGCTGGAGTTCCCAACCGAGAGAATTCTAGGCAAGAGTGTCCGCTCTGTCTTCTCCAGGTGAACTTCCAGCTTCAGTTAAGTTGGTTGCAGATAGTTGATTTGTTCTCAGGACAAAATGTTCTTAATAGCTACTGTTGCTTGCTAGTTTCTCCTTTCCGAGGAGAGGGAGTCTCAGTGGAGACAATGCAGGACCTCCCCTCTTCCAGAGACAGCTCACAGTATATCAGAGGACAGTTAACCAGCACAATGCCCGTTACACTGTTTAAACTCACTTTGGAAGGAAAGTTGTTACATAGAAGCAGTTGTGTGGGCTTTAGTTTAGGCAGGCTTTAGTACAGTTCCCTGGGAGCTGGTTCTGTTAGGATAGAAATGGGTACTGAACGGACCTTGTAGCAAAGATTACAGGCAAAGGAAGTCTGAAATAAACTGAGCCATGAGAAGATAGCAAATTAAAGGGCTTGAAGTTGAGTTTGGTGTGATTAGGTTGAAAGATATATGAGGAGGGGCAGATGGAGGAGGATCTACAAACTCCCTGAGTGTCTGATGAGGAGTTTGGACTTGTTTTATGACTTAGGAAATGGAAAAGATGTCACAGGGCTAAATACAGCAGGGCTGTATTTTAGTATGACCTCTCCTGTGGCTGTGTGGCAGATGCATTAGGCATTTAGAAGACCAGTTGCAGACCGGGGTCTGACAGAAGAGACAAGCAGTGAGAATAGGGGAGACAGAAGTAGATACTGAGGTAGATCGTAGAATGAGTTTTGGTAACTATTCGCTCACGTTGGAGAACACGCTGAGGTGTTTGGCTTGGGGAAGCCCATGGGTATGGTTAAAGTCACCAGATGTCATGAGACTTGCAGATGGTGAGGGAATCATTAGTATGGCTTCAGCTCTCTGGAGGATTGGTCCATATGGGACAGTGATAGAGGAGGTTGGCAGAGAGATGCAGTGTGTCTGAGCAAGCCCTGAGCATCTCCTGTGTGGAGGATGCACACGATAGCAGTGTGGAGAAACGGCTGTAAAAGACCTGTGCTAAGAGCTGAGCACGCTAGCCCTGGGCTAGAGCCCTGGGACCCAGTCTTCTGAAGTGGGAGTGGAGGAGAGTGTCTTGGCTAAGCCAAGAGGCAGCATGGCATGGAACACCCCCAGAGGGGCACCTTCTGCATGTCAGAAGAACTTCCTGCCAGGGAAGCTTCAGTAATAAATCTAAAGGCATTTCAGGGGTGCCAGGGCGGGGGCTGATTTAGGATGAAGCAGTGGAGGAGGTGAAGGAAGGGGTCAGGACTTTTAAGAATACTTATCTAGTTTAAAGAAGGGTTTGTGTAAGTCGGAGGACGGAGAAGAAGAGAGAGGGTGAGGAGTGGGGGCTTGCCTTAAACACAAAGCTGGTTCCAGTCTGTGTCCCACTCGGATACAGATGGCAAAAATACACCCTTCCACGTTCTCTGGCTACTTGGAGAGAGTGGGTAAGGGGACAACACATTAGAAGAAAAGGGTCAGTGCTGATGCAAAGGTGGGAGGGAGGAAAGGGCGAGAGCGAGCAGCTGTCCTGGGCAGGTAGGTCTGAGCGTGCAAGCATAAAGTGACAGCCATAGTTATCCCAAGGCTCCGAGAAACTGCCGTGTTTCTACTTCCTTCACGATCTTCATGGTTTTCTCAAGAAAACTACAATTTCCCTATTAATCCTTTATCAAAAGAGATACTTTGGATAGTAGAACACGTAACTGTAATTAATAAAAACATACAAATGGCAGGCAGGTGTGTGTCAACATGCATTCAGTAGGTATTTGTCAAGTGTCTGCTGAGTGGTGGACAGTCTTCAAGACGCTGGAGAACTGATCACTGGCTTTGGCTGCTTTACCTGGAATTGCTTCATTTATGAAATCAAAGCTGTCTACGGCCTTAAAGCCAGAAGGACCATTTGAAGTTCCAGGACCATTCCATAGTTTTGTGCGATATTGTATTTCATTGGTCCAAACCAATAACCAGAGATGCCACCCCTGTCTCGCGGTGGAATGCGGAAATTAGATCGCAGAAAAGCGACTGTGAACGTGGACTGCCAGCCCTGGCTGGGACTTGGAGAGCACCTGCTTTGGTGGTAATGCAGGGATGAGGAACTGGCAGAGAGGAGCGAGAGCTTGCTGCATGTCACAAAATAAGTGACAGAGAGCTCTTGAGTTTTCAGATGACGTGTCAGTGAGCTTCCTGTCACTGTGCCTAACTCTGAGCTAATCAGGTTATAAAAAGAAGCAGCCTGGGTTGGGGGTGTGGCTGAGAAGTACACACTTGCCCAGCGTGCACGAAGCCCTGGCTTTAGCCATTGCACTGCATTTGGGGACTGAATGATTATTTGGGCTCATGCTTGTTTGTTTGAGACAAGGCCTACGCAGCCTTAGGTGACCTGGGTCTCGCTATTTAGATGAAACTAGCTTTGAGCTAAAGGTCCATCTTCCTCTGCTTCGAGAGGTGGGATTAAAGGTGTGTGCCATACGTCTGTGAAGGCTCAGACTTCTTGAGGTCTTCATTCAGTCGGTCCCGTTGATTTGGGCCTATGGCAGGGCAGTGTGGCATGGTGGGAGTACTAGGTAGAGAAAGTTTCCTTACCGTAGGCCACGGAGCAAAGAGAAGATGAGGAAGGGGCTGGAGTTCTGCTGTCTCCTTCAGGTGCTCAGTCCTGTCCTGAAGTCACCCCACTAGAGCCACCTCTGACGGTTCCAGATCTTCCCGAGAATGTCAAGCTGGGCACCAGGCTCTAACACAAGGGGCCTTATGATCCAAATCACAGCAGATGGGATGGCGGGGGACGACTTGAAAATACCTCACGGAAAAGGGCACCTTAATGGGACGATGTGAGGACAGAGCTTGGAAATAGACCATGAAGCTTCAGGGGCAGGCTGTCCCCTCCGTTACCAGGTCCGCAAGAAGCCCTACGTGTGCCAAGCCGTAGATTTCTCACCTGTGACGAGGAGAGGTTAGGTGAGGTCTTTTTTTTTTTTCTTTTTAAAGTTTTAAATAAGCTAGGATTTGGGTTATTTCAGAGAACGATCATTTTCAAGATGTTGAATCAGGATACAGAATGGTAACAGAAAGCAGGAACTAGCCTTTGCTTTCTTAGGACAGACTGCAACCTGTTGGCAGGCCTCCATGGGAGGTATCTGACAGGTCCTTCCGCCCACCCACGATGTCCTTATATCATATGTTACTCCTTTATGTCTCCCAGGCTCCGAGCCTGTTTTGTTCCGCTGCTAATTTGTTTCTAGTGGGCATTAAGGTTCTTATTCTTAGGAACAGCTCTGTCCTGTAATAAAGTCCTGGGCACATCTCTGCTGCTGTGCCCGCATTGCCACTCAGTGCTACAGAGCTCTCTGCTGAGTTACAGTCCTGTGGGACTGCAGTCTCTCCACCTTAGGGAGCACCGTTCTCTGATGCCAGCTCAGGACTGTCGCTCTTTCGGGGCCTGTGCATCTCGGTGCCTCTGCATTCTCTTCCTTCCGTCCTCCTGTGTGTGCTCAGACACATCCTGGCCATGATGTCCTTTAACACATTTCTTTCTCCCTCTGAACATTGTCCCACTCCAGGTGCAGAACCTCTCTTACCCCACCCCTGGGGCAAAACTCTGAATTATCTCCTTTGGCTCTTTCTAGTCACATCCTTAGACCCATGTGGTCTCTTGTTCACAAGAGTGCAGACCCCCTCTTCCCGTCCCTGAGCAGCCAGGGCACGCGGTCCTTTGTTATGGTGTCTGTTCCTAAATGGCATTCCTTTCAGGCATCTGCTTGTGAGTGTGCTCTTCCCAAGATGTGGGGTTCCACTTATCTTTGTGTCCGCCATAGATTTTAGGACAGTGCTTAGCCTTCTTTAGGAGTGCATTCTATATTGGTTAAATTTTATGTGTTGGAAATAAAAGGCTGGTAAG